ATCTAACAGCACACCTAAAGGAACTAGAAGCAGAACAGCAAAGACACTCCAAACCCAGCAGAAGAAGAGAAATAATAAAGATAAGGGCAGAAATAAACAATATAAAATCCAAAAACAAAACAAAACAAAACAACCCAGTAGAACAGATCAATGAAACCAAGAGTTGTTTTTTTTAAAAAAATAAACAAAATTGATAAACCTCTAGCCAGGCTTCTCAAAAAGAAAAGACAGAGGACCCAAACAGATAAAATCACGAATGAGGGACTTATTACAACCAGTCCCTCAGAAATAAAAGCAATTATCAGGGAATACTATGAAAAATTATATGCCAACAAATTGGACAACTTAGAAGAAATGGACAAATTCCTAAATAGCGACACACTATCAAAACTCAAACAGGAAGAAGTAGAAAATTTGAACAGACCCATAACTAGTGAAGAAATTGAATCAGTTATCAAAAAAATCTCCCAACAAATAAGAGTCCTGGACCAGATGGCTTCCCTGGGGAATTCTACCAGACATTTAAAGCAGAACTAATATCTATCCTTCTCAAGCTGTTCCAAAAATAGAAATGAAAGAAAAACTTCCAGACTCATTCTATGAAGCCAGATTCACTCTGATTCCCAAACAGATAGAGACCTAGCAAAAAAAGAGAACTACAAGCCAATATCCCTGATGAATATGAATGCAAAAATCCTCAACAAGATACTAGCAAATCAAATTCAACAGCATATAAAAAGAATTATCCACCACGATCAAGTGGGATTCATTCCTGGGTTGCAGGGCTAGTTCAATATTCACAAGTCAATCAATGTGATACATCACATTAACAAAAGAAAAGGTAAGAAATATATGATCCTGTCAATAGATACAGAAAAAGCATTGGACAAAATACAGCATCCTTTCTTAATAAAGACCCTCAAGAAAGTCGGGATAGAAGGAACTTACTTAAACATCATAAAAGCCATTTATGAGAAGCCCACAGCAAATACCTTCCTCAATGGGGAAAAGCTAAGAGCTTTCCCCCTGAGATCAGGACCAAGACAGGGAGGTCCATTCTCACCACTGTTGTTTAATATGGTGTTGGAAGTCCTAGCATCAGCAATCAAGACACCAAATGAAATAAAAGACATCAGAGTTGGCAAAGATGAAGTCAAACTTTCACTTTTCGCAGACAACATGATCCTCTACATGGAAAACCCAAAAGACTCCACCAAATATCTGCTAGAACTGATCCCTGAATTCAGCAAAGTATCAGGGTACAAAATCAATATACAGAAATCAGTTGCATTTTTATACACCAATAATGAAGCAACAGAAAGGGCTACAGGGAAACTGATCCCATTCACAATTCAAGAACCATAAAATACCTAGGAATAAATCTAACCAAAGATGTAAAAGATCTGTATGCTGAAAACTATAGAAAACTTATGAAGGAAATTGAAGGAGACACAAAGAAATGGAAAAGCATTTCATGCTCATGGATTGGAAGAATATGGTTAAAATGTCAATACTACCCAAAGCAATCTGCACATTCAATGTAATCCCAATCAAAATTGCACAAGCATTCTTCTCAAAACTAGAACAAACAATCCTAAAATTTGTATGGAACCACAAAAGACCCCGAATAGCCAAAGTAATATTAAAGAAGAAAACCAAAACGGGAGGCATCACAATCTCAGAGTTTAGCCTCTACTACAAAGCTGTAATCATCAAAACAGTATGGTACCGGCACAAAAAGAGACACATAGACCAATGGAATAGAATAGAGAACCCAGAATTGGACCCACAAATGTATGGCCAACTCCTCTTTGACAAAACAAGAAAGAGTATCCAATGGATAAAAGACAGCCTCTTGAACAAATGGTGCTGGGGGAACTGGACAGCAACATGCAGAAAAATGAAACTGGACCACTTACATACACATAATAAACTCAAACTTACTTACACCATACACAAAAATAAACTCAAAATGAAGGACCTGAATGTGAGACAGGAAACCATCAAAACCCTGGAGGAGAAAGCAGGAAACAACCTCTTTGACCACAGCTGCAGCAATTTGTTTACCTGACACATCTCCAAAGGCAAGGGAATCAAAACCAAAAATGAACTATTGGGACCTCACCAAGATAAATAGCTTCTGCAAGGCAAAGGAAACAATCAACAAAACTAATAGGCAACTGATGGAATGGGAAAAGATAGTTGCAAATAACATATCAGATAAAGGGCTAGTATCCAAAATCTATAAGGAACTCACCAAACTCCACACCTGAAAAACAAACAATCCAGTGAAAAAATGGGCAGAAGACATGGACAGACACTTCTCCAAAGAGGACATCCAGATGGCCAACAGACACATGAAATGATGCTCAATGTCACTCCTCATCAGGGAAATACAAATCAAAACCACACTGAGATACCACCTCATGCCGGTCAGAGTGGCTAAAATGAACAAATCAAGAGAATCTAGATACTGGGGAGGATGTGGAGAAACGGGCACCCTCCTCCACTGTTGGTGGGAATGTAAACTGGTGCAGCCCCTCTGGAAAACAGTGTGGCGGTTCCTCAAAAAGTTACAAATAGAACTCCCCTATGACCCAGCAATAGTACTCGTAGGAGTTTACCCGCGGGATACAGGAGTGCTGATGCATAGGAGCACATGCACTCCAATGTTCATAGCAGCACTTTCAACAACAGTCAAGTTATGGAAAGAGCCTAAATGTCCATCAACAGACAAATGCATAAAGAAGATGTGATTTATATATACAACAGAATACTACTTGGCAATGAGAAAGAATGAGATCTGGCCATCTGCAGCAACGTCGATAGAACTGGAGGGTATTGTGCTAAGTGAAATAACTGAGGCCCAGAAAGACAGATACCATATGTTCTCACTCATATGTGGATCTTGAGAAACTTAACAGAGGACCATGGGGAAGAGAAGGGGGGAGGAGTTCCAGAGAGGGAAGGAGGCAAACCAAGAGAGTCTTAAATTCGGAGAACTGAGGGCTAATGGGGGTGGGGGGTAGGAGGGAAAGTGGGTGATGGGCACGGAGGAGGGCACTTGTTGGGATGAGCACTGGGTGTTGTATGGAAACCAATTTAACAATAAGTTATATTAAAAATAATAATAATAATTTAAAAAAGAAATACATAGTATTTCAAAATGTAGCCACAGTTTACACACTCTGGTCTTTTATGCATTCACCCCAAACAATTAAGAAATAATTTTTTTAGATGTTTTTANCAGAACTGGTCTGTGACCATGTCAGGCATGGTGGTCTTAGAGGTGGGAGTGGAGGAAAAGGGCTGTTTTCAGAAACTGACATGTCAATCCTTTTTTTCCTGTACCATGAACTGCAACGAGTCAATCTGCTAAGAACAGAATTCTAGTTTTTTGTTTTTTTTTTTTCCTGAGAGAGAGACAGAGACACAGCATGAATGGGGGAGGGTCCGAGAGAGGGAGACACAGAATCCGAGACAGGCTCCAGGCTCTGAGCTAGCTGTCAGCACAGAGCCCGACACGGGGCTCAAACCCACGAACTGTGAGATCATGACCTGAGCCAAAGTCGGATGCTTAACCGACTGAGCCACCCAGGTGCCCCTAAGAAATAATTTCAAACTCAAAATTCTTTTCTGTAATGCCCCAGATAGAAGTCCCTTGCTAGCCACCTTCTCCTCTCTGTCCTTCTACTACAGAGCCTGGAAAGCTAAACATCTGAATCCCCAGCCTCCACTACACTCATGAGGCCACGCAACAGGTATGGCCAATACGACGCAGGGCAAATCTGCTGGGTGTGGCTTCCAGGAGAGCGTTCACTGTTCTGGACATAGCGGGCAAGGACAGTTTCCCGTTATGCCCTTCTCTTTCCCTCTAGCCTAGAAAGTAGGGGTGGTGTCAGGAGGCGCTGCAGCCATCCTGACGCAGGACACAGTGACATGGCAGGCAAACTATGTCTTGAACACCTTCCCCAAACAATGTACCCACACAAGCATGGTCATTCTTGTATTGTGTCATCCACCTGCCAGGTTACATAATCACCTGTGCACATGCCCTAGTCAATCCAGTGTGCACTCGCTGTGTACTCTCCTCTACCTGACGTCACGGGAGACAGCCCCTGGCTGATGACACATTCAGTAGTCAGGGAAACCTGAGAGCAGGGGAGTCGTACACCATCTCGTATTTCACAGTGCAGCTCTATCCGAGACTGCCGCAGAGTTCAGAGAAGGTGTCAACAGAGGCATGTTAAAGACTGAAATTGTCAGATAAAGCTTCCAAAGAAAAGCAAAACCTGCAAGTGAGTCTTAAATGGACAGAGTAGGAGGAAGGACACGTGTACCAGGAGGGACTAGCCTGAGCAACAGCACTGGGGTTAGAATGTGTGCACGCGTACGGCACACATGGTGTAAGGAATAGGGAGCTCCTCTGGGCAGGTCTGCTCCTGCCAAATCCCGTTCTAATTCCTCAAATAGGCCCAGTTCCTCAGCGAACTCCTGACCCACAATAAGCTAAGCACTCCCACAGGTGCCCAAGCTAATTTAGGTGACCCGTCTCTAAGCAGTCACTGCATCTCAGAATCCCGCCTGGGGACCTAGCACCCACGCCCAGGTCCCAGCAGACTAGGAGCCTCTTACTGTCACTACTGTCTTCCCAGCCGTAGAGCGGGCCAGGCATTACAGAACAGCTGAGGAGAGATGGCTCAACAAAACAGGACCAGACTATGACTCCATTTCTGGGCCGTTCTGCTCTAAGATGAAGAACCTTACAGTTAACGAAGTAGGGTAAGCTTCGTCAAAAACTCAAATGTAAAAACCATTGAGCGCTTTTTAAAATGTGGATTTAGGAGAAAGAAATTTAATCCAATACTAGAAAACAATCAGGTTAAAGTCTGCCCCTCCCTCTCCCTCCCTCCCCTCCTCCACCCCACCCTCCAGGTACAAGCATACAAGAACCAGCCCCACCCCCCTCACTGGGCCTCACCCCCCTCACTGGGCCTCACCATCAGCATTTTATGCAGGTCCTCCTCAAAGGCATCGATGTTGCAGTCGGTCTTCTCCAGGTCGTCTAGAACCTCGTGCAGCATGAACTGATAGTACTGCTTCATCAGAAGGCCGCCCTTCAGCACCTCTTTACACTCCCTCACCAGCTGCGGGGGACACACAAGCTGTCACTTCACACACCATGACTGGACAATGTATCAGCTTCACACGTCTCCTACTTAAACCCTCAGAAACTCTGAAAGTCCTAAAATATTTTCCAATTCTTTATCGCCTCAGTTACATAAATATCTTAGCAGTCTTGATTAAGAACAAAATAGTGAAAATACAAGTATTTAATATTACAGCATGAATGCACAGAGAGAATATCATACGGGCAAACACTGATTTCTGGCAATACATTTCCCTACAAATAAAGTTATACAGAAAATACATCCCACAGGGTAAGATCTATTTTTCTGTTTTGCATTATATAAGACAATGGATAGAAAACTCTCCTAATGAAATTGCTTATTTTTAACCAAAAACATAATAAAGACACAAATATACTTACACGCCACAGAGCATGACAATCTGTTTGATAATTTGGTATAGTAATTACTGTGATTTGTGGCCTTTACCATCTGAAGCTTGAAAATCAAATCTAAGATCAACGTGATGAAATCAGATGGAGGTCAAGGGAAACAAAACCTAAACAAACCGACGAGTGCCCCGGCCACGTGCGGCCCAGGGAGCAGCGCAGGGAAGGAGGAACGTTGACAGGACTGAGATCGCTGGCCCTCTGGCCCTTGCCTCACAGCATCTGGCTTAACGCACCAGGGATCCCATCAATATGACGGACCCCAACAGCAGAGCATGGCTGCAGCTGTCTGAAATCTTACTCTTGAACAATATTTAACGGTAAAAATCTGTACTCTTGTTTCTTTTGTATGTGTAGGATGAACAGGGGGATACAAATACACCAAAATAGTTACAGAGGTCATCTCTGAGGGGCAGGGCCACAGGAGAATTCTCATTTTCGTTGTTTCATTTTCTGTACTTGTCAAATACTCCACAATAAATACAAATACAGACTGCCTTTATAAACATAAATCTCACTTCAAAAGGTTCTAAAAGTAATTACTCACAGTAAGAGAGCCAGGGCTAGCCAGAGTGATGTCTACAAAAAGCTGTTCTGTTCAGATGTAAATTGCTCTGGTAAAGATATCACTTAAGTGCTTCTAACCAAATCTTTGAATGATTTAAGCCAAAATTTTGGTTTTATTTCGATTCTAGGAATGCCACATTCATCTAAGTTTTGTTTCTTTATTTTTAAAAACATTTTAACATAAACTACAGTTTCAATCTCACAAGAGCTCCACTAGCAAAAAGTAAACTCTGCTTTGTTTTTACCAGGTTATATTCCTGAATATTCGTTTTGTGAGAAAGGAAGTCAGTACGTACCCAGGCGGGGTAAAGCCTGATAAATTACCACTGGGGCAGGCGGACAAGTGAGAGGCGCAGGCACGGCCACAGCCACAGCCACAGCCACAGCAGGCGGCGAGCAGCTGAGCAAGGGAGAGAAGGTGGCTCTCTGGCCGCTGCTGGGCTGGAACCCGGGAACCCAGGCACGATGACAAGGAGCCACACCAACAAAGTCAAGTCCTATTCTGTGCCTATCTGATGGCCGTGCTTGTCCCAGGTGCCATCCATCATTCCCCTTCCATCCCCAGGGGACAGACACACACAGTTGACAAAAACACACCTTTTTTCCCCGCCAAATCAGAAATGTTTATCGTGTATAGTGGGTATCAGAATGGTTAATACTCTGAAGTACGAATCCAGACACTCGCTGGCATTTGCTGGCCTAGACACAACTGCTTCCAGCCATTCCTGTCACCTCTGGAGTATCAAACTCCCTAGAAAATCCCATCCAAAACTCATAAAAACCAAGGAAACAGAAGCCGTCATTACTATGTAAACCCCTCAACTGGCTAAGCAAGCAGAAAGTCCAATGGTGTCCCGGCTGCAGACTCTAAGGACAATGCCCTGTGTACAGGAAGCTTCGCTGGAACAATGAATAAATGTACGGAACTTAAACGGTCCCTAACGAGTGAGCTGAGCTCCCAGCCCTCACTGGCTGACGTCAGGAGGCTCTGTCACTCCGTCCCCGCACGTCTGCATCCTCCTGGAACAGGACAGTGATGGCGGAAGGCTGAGTCACAATCTTCTCCTTGAGGACCACGTGCAAAGAACATTTCAAATGACCCTAAAAGGGCAGCTTAACAACACTAACACGCACTCATTTTTCACAATTTGCAACAATTCACAAAAATCCTCAAAATAAAAACTGTAAGCCTGAAGGACAGCATAATCATTGCTAAATATTTCTTAATGAGTCTTGGACACAGACCTGCTTAATACTCAAGAGAGACGGTTCTCCAGCAGGTCTCTGTTCCAATCTTAACTTCAGGCACTCGTGTATGACATTCAGAAGGACCCGGCAGAGGACTAGGAAGGCGGGTTCGAACGAGGGCAGGTCCATGGACTGAAGCTCGTCCCACGACACAGTGCTGCATTTCTGCTCCGAGGAACACGGGGTCCTGGATAACTGCACATAATCTGAACCCCACATGGGGTCTGGAAATTCGGAAAACTAGAATAAAAATTCAACACAAGTTAAAAGAGCACACAAAAGGAGGTGCTATGGTTGTGGTTTTAACTATTACTCCCTATAATTTGCTGACAAAGCTACAAAAATCACAATTTTACAGGTGAGATCATCTTTAGAATAATTCAACATGTTTAACATAGGCCCAAACAGTTCTAAAAGTAATAGAAAATCATAACAAGAATTAACACCATGCTATAATATTTTTACCAAAAAAGCATAGTGGAAAAACTATCAAGTTCATTATTTTTATCACAAATTTTATCATACTGAAAATGATTAGAGTACTTTATTCTTACAGTTATATATAGTATTATCCAAAACTATCTCTAGATTGAGAAAACCAGAAATTATTGAAATTTGAGAAAGATTACAAAACCAGGGAGCCATTTACGCAAACATAAAAACTAGCTGATTCAAACAATTCTTTTGTCCGTGGCTCTCATGAGCTATATACCAAATGATGCTGATAGGAAAAGAATTCATAGAATTGACCTGGCTGGTCCCACTCAAATATGCTATTTGATACCCCTGGGAATCTCAGTGTTGCTCACCCTTTCTTACAGGAAACTCCATCAAATGCCTTATGCTTTTCCTCATAAAATAGGGGGTTTAGAGCCTTCCCACTGTTCTTAAACTTCTGGCAACATAACTGTGACCAACCACATCCAAAGACCTTCACTTCTCCTTTTATTAAGAAAACAGAGGCCAACAAAAGTTGAAAACCTCAATTTCTCCTCAATTTAAAACATCACCAATTATAACTATTCTGCCTCAGTGTCACCCATATCTGTGTTCCCTGTCCTTTACTGAACTCTGAGCTGGTCTCCTTTGCTCACATCCTTGCATGCTCAACACAGATTTCTGCACTGAAATTAACAAACACTTTGGTTTTCCATGACAGGCCAGAGTATTTAAAATAGTAAATCATTTTTAAAACGTGATGAACGTGGTTAGGGTTAAGACATGTCTGTTTAGAAGCTTCAGGCAATAAAAACACTTGTTCTTCCCTGGTGTCGAGAGTGGTATCAAACCAAAGGCTTATTGAAAGCTCTACGAAATTCAGCGAACTTTCTGTGATAAAATTCTAAAGAATTCTTGTGGCGTTCTCTAGCATCCCAGCCCGTTTACCCACATGCTGCAGGCTCACTGGGAACGGGAACAATCCTTACTTGTCCATAGTGCAAGGCAACACCGCCTGGGAGACCCAACGGCCAGCCCCACACAGCTGCTGGGGAACTGTGTTCTCCCGGGGGTGCCTGGCGGGCCCATCCCTGTTCAAGGAGGAGCAGGCATTAAAAACTTACTGAGCACTGAAGAGGAAGTGGCAATTTTAACTAAAGAAACCAAGGTGAAGAATCAGAAACGCTGACATTGATTTCACGTAGGAAACGGGAGAACCATCAAATACTCTACAGCAAGATCTCATTCAAGTACTCTGGAAAAAAAATTAACAAACCAAGACTTCTATAGCAAATTCAATGTGACCATGAGAACAGAAGGAGTGGTAAAAATTAATAACTTAGACAGTGACTACAAAAATTATCACTGTAACAAAGAGCAAAAGAAAAAGAAATGGAAATATTGAGTGAAAAATAGAGACATGGCAGTCAGATCTAGGAGCTTAACATAAGAATCATAGGCAGGAAGAAAGAACAGAAGGAGGAGATGGAGAGGGCTGTTTTCAGTCAAGAGAGCACTCACATGAAGAAAAAGGGAGAAACCTTTTTGGACAAGGAAGAACTCCAAGTACAATTCTTTTATCTTCACTAAAAAAGCACCTGAGGAAGTACATATAGTAAGGTCTAATCAAATGAAAATTAAATCAGAATAAAGATCCCAAGACAAAATACCCAAGAAGTGAGAAGCCACAAAATTAGCGTAACTTATATAGGCAGATACAATTCCAGGATGGTAACTTGGTTAAAGCCTATAGTGCAACTTCTAGAAAGGAGTATTTGAATTTTTTAAAGAAAAGATATTATGAGGAAAAAATAACCTCATAACCTGGAAAGGGGCAATAAAGTGCAAGAATGGCACTATTTGTTATTATTTCCTTCATTTATTATTATTGCCAGTGAGAAATACAGGGTTAAATATGGTATAAAATCTGTGATCAATTCAGGCAAACTGGACTGACTCCATCGTACACAGAAATCAATAAAAATGCAATACAATTATAATCATAATCTCACTGGTATTTTGTGTGGATTGATAAATTCATTCAATAAAACTCATGTGGAAGAAAGTAATATACAAAAATAAAAGCAGCCCAGAAATTTTTTAAATGAAAAGGAAGAATTGCCCACACAATGGCAAACATTACTAATGAAACTACTTTATTTAAAAGAGAAAAGTACTGTAAACAGATCAGCAGAGAAACATATCTAATTATCCATAATTTAAATCATAAAAAAGTAGGCAGCAGCTGAAGAAGTTGGAAAATAATGGATAATCCAATGTTCTAGAACACTGAAAAATTACCTCCTTACCTCTCTCTATAACTAGACCTCATGCTATCACAATTAATCAATTATTTAATTATGTAGCTACTGTAGAAATTCTTGTCTGATATGAGAAACCTAAGCATGTATTAGTGTAAGTATAGAAATACATATTTGGAAAGACTCCAAATGGACTAAAGCCTAAACACAGATCTATACGTTAGGTTAAACCATATAAAACTGTCATTTTAGGCAGGTGAAATGACCCAAAACTGGCGATTTGGTACAGGTCAACATAGTAACAGGAATTCTGGAAAGACAGTGGTGGCAGCAGAATTTCGATTTCCCTTGCTTCCCGCATAAGAAAAGACAGAGCTAGGACAACAAAACACACATCCAATAAAACAGGTGACGAGGTATTTCCATGAAGTCCAAAGTAGACAAGCTGGGGGGGGGAGGGGGGACCCATCCCGGACGCTGCAGGATCAGCACTGGCGCAGGGGAAACCCAGGGGATTCCCAGGGAGTCTGATAGGCCTAAGGGGGCAAATCCCACAATCTCCAATGACCATTCAATAGAAAGCTCATTGCTTCTATTTGAAGACTTCAGTGAAACAGAAAGTGACCTGGGCACAGATTCATGAGTGAGGTCAAGGGGCGGCAATAGGCCAGAAGGGCTGAAGCGGTTTAGGCTCCACAGACTCATAAAACTATCAGCTAAAATTCTCTTCCAGGACAAACCTGCTGGAGTAAAACCCAACTGACCTGCAAAGTACAGTCAAGGTAGAGAAACGAGAGGAGCCGGAAGTGGGAGGGGAACACAGCCAGAAGACCTCAAAAAGAAAGCCTGTTTTTTTGTTTTTTTTGTTTTTTGCAATTTAGAAGAAGGAGCTCAAAAGCTACAAACCTAAACACTTTCTAAACTCTCTCCTTCCTTAAAGTTCATGAAAACAAATATATTTAAAGAAGAGCAACAGGAAAAGACAGTGCTAGAATGCACTAGGGTTGGGATCCATACAGGGTTATTATGCAGAGAAAGAAAGAGCTGACCGGCCTTACAAAGAAAGCATGCCAGAAAGACAGTCCCACTAAACAGAATCGTGGCCCAACTAAAAAAAAAAAGAAAAAAAAGCTAAAATAAATTAAGAAAACCATACAAAATATAAGAACATAAATTAAAATTAGAAAACTGATAAAGTGATGGTACTCAGAAGATAATTTTTTATCATTTCAAAAACAGAAAACAAATGAGCAGAAACATGAACACAAATAAAGAAAACAGATAATAGGAAGGAAGGGAGGGAGGGAGGGAGGGAGGGAGGGAGGAAGGAAGGAAGGAAGGAAGGAAAGAAGGAAGGAAGGAAGGAAGGGAGGGAGGGAAAGATTTGAAATAAAGTGACAGGGGCGCCTGGGTGGCTCAGTCGGATGAGTGTCCAACTTCAGCTCAAGTCATGATCTCACAGCTTGTGGGTTCAAGCCCCACATCAGGCTCTGAGCTGACAGCTCAGAGACTGGAGCCTGCTTCAGGTTCTGTGTCTCCTTTTCTCCCTGCCCCACCCCCACTCATGCATTGTCTCACTCTGTTTCTCAAATATAAATAAATGTTAAAAAAAAAAAAAAAAAAAAGGAAGAGAGGCAAAGTAGATCCAAAACATATACAGCAGTGATTTCCAGAGAAGAAAACCAAACCAATGAAACAGAAGAAAGTTAAAATAAATTCACTTGAAATAATAAAAAAGATAAAAACCAAACAAAACATGAAAGCATATACTAAAAGGGCACCACGTATTCAAAAATACCAACACTGAGTAAACTACTTGCAGTTTGAAGAAAAAGGAAAAAAAAGCGAAACAATCTTTTGGGCATCCAGGTTATAAATACATAAATAAGGAATGCAAATGAACAAAGGCCTTACAAGTAAAAACAAAAATATTGTCATCAGACTTCCCAACCTCAATGCTGCATGCCAAGAGACAAACCATAATATATATCAAACTTCTTCAAGGAAAGAAAATATAAGTCAAAGAGTTTATAGCCAAATAGACTTGCAAGAGTAATAAATGCAGCAAACTGGAAAATTCAAGAACACAGAACTGTTCTCATGAACCCTTACTGAGGATTCTACTATGGAATGAAATGACTCAGGACACTTCAATTCAAAACAAGAGTCTTAGGGAAAGAAGTCAAAAACTTTGTGTCTAACTCTAAATCTCTATCTCCTTCTCTATGTCTGTCTATAAAAACACACGCACGTAGTCCCCTAGAGCTGAAAAGAGGGGAAATGTTAAGGGCAGAAATGTGGTCAGTAGGGCTATACTGTAAATACACCACAGGGATCACAATCTGGGGGGGGGGGAGGGAGGTGCATATGCAATTGCTTAGCATTTCACTGGCCGTAAAAGAAAATCACTTCAAATGAAAACCTGGGTTAAAAAAAAAAAAAAAAAAGGGTAATTCCAATATCCTCATGGTTGAAAACCCACAAATAACAGCCAAAAAATGTTGGGTTGGGGGGTTCCCTGGGTAGCTCCATCGGTTAAGT